AGGAAAGCAGGAGCCCCCCCCCCAATACTGGAAAAGGAGACTTGCCCCATAGCCACAACCACCTCCATCTCTCTGTTAGTCTAATTGCTGCAATTGCCTCCTCTTGGAAACTCCACAGAGGTTGAGTCTGAGAGCCTGGCAGTGCAATCCCCCTGAGGTAGAAAGAGTCTGTGAGCAGCCTCTGTCACCCCACGAGAGACTCCCTGAAAGGTGGATATGAAAGAAGCCCCTCCTCTTTCCCTAAGGTTCCCCAAAAAGCTGAGTCTAGAAATAGCTCTCTCTCTGCTGGGGGTGCCCCACACTCTGGTGGCCGTGACAGCGTTAGTAGCTTCCAAGTGACCCAAATGTAATTAATTTTGGTGCCCGCTCCTTGATGGCCCTGACATACTGTATGTGTGAGAATCACTGTTTGATGGCTTGTGAAGGGAGACTTAGTCTCCCAAGGTCCTTGGGGCTGAGCTGTTTTCTCAGCATCCCTACTTTCAGCACCCCTGTGACAGAAGAAACACAACACAACTCATATGTGAAAAAATAAGGTCAAAGCATCTCATTTTAAGACTGTCCTAAAAAGGTGTGTACGAAGAAGTGATGAGCACCAAGAGAGAATGCTACAAAGGAAGCCATGGCTGGTGGTGACACCTTTGGTATTTTAACATGCTGGCTTGACACCACAAAATTAAAAGCTTCCAACTTCTATTTGTGTAATATCAGCCTGTCCACAAGCATCCAATAGCTTTTAACACTAGACAGCTTTGGATTCTGAACATGTGAATCTAAACCACGTTTTAAACTCTATACTTGCTGTGAATTTTTTCCGCCATCCCTTCCCCTAGGCTGAGATGGCAGCTGGAAGGAACTAGCCATTAAATTCCCAACTGGCTTTCAGCATCGGGTGCCCCTTTTTTCTCATATGAGAAGTGGCAGGCCAGATGTGACCATCTGGTCACCTTTTCTCCCTCATGGGCATTGAGGTTGCCTGGTGAATCGGACCTATTTTATTTCCTGGGTTTATTTGGCGCTCAGGAAACTGAGACGATTGACAGGTCTGGCAAAAGCAAGGCAGCACAAAGCATATTTCCTCATTGCAGCTCTACTGTTGAATGTCAATATTGGCTTTTAATACCCCCTGCGATTCCACTCTGGCTTCCCTTGAACAGCTTTGCCAGTGCCTCAGTGCTGTCCTGCCACCTCACCTGTTGTTCCAATTTTGGGTCAGTCCAGAGCAGATTTTTCACTTGTCTTATGTGTGGCTCTTTCCTGATGGGGCGGGGCAGGCACTAAAAACATACGGCACATATGTGACTTTAATTCCCACTTCTGCTAAAGGTTCTCTTGTTACCTCTCGGGGGGGCTGTCTGAGACTTTCTTCTAGCCCCCAAATTTCAGTCCTACCCATTTTTCCTATTTACTCCTTCATGTTCTGAAAGGCCTCCCATCATATCTAGCAATCTTTTCAGGAGAGGGAGGCTGTGCCCAGATCCCTTTGAAATCCAATATCTGTCTTGAGCCAGCCAGAGGGGTCACTGCAAAGAATTGCATTTGGCCCCTTCCCCGCTCCAGGACCAAGTACACTGAACTCAGGGCACTTGAGGAACGTGCTATAAAGGAGGGATGTTGGTAAACTAAGAACATAAGAATGGCCAGACTGGGTCAGACCAATGATCCATCTTGCCCAGTATCTTGTCTGCTGACAGTGGCCAATGCCAGGTGGTCACAGGGAATGAACAGAACAGGCAATCATTGAGTGATCCATCCTATTGTCCACTCCCAGCTTCTGGCAAACAGAGGCTAGGGACACTTGGAGCATTGTGTTGCGTCACTGCCCATCCTGGCTGACAGAGCCATCAATGGCTATCCTCCATGAACTTGACTAGTTCTTTTTTTTGAACCTGTTATAGTTTTGGCCTTCACAGCTTCCTCTGGCAATGAGTTCCACAGGTTAGCTGTGCGTTGTGTGAAGAAGTACTTCCTTTTGTTTGTTTTAAACCAGCTGCCTATTAATTTCATTGGGTGACCCCTACTTCTTGTGTTATGTGAAGGAGTCAATAACATTTCTTTATTCACTTTCTCCACACTAGTCAAGATTTTATAGACCTCTATCATATCCAACCCCCATTTTCCAAGCTGAAAAGTCTGTCTTTTTAATCTCACCTCATATGGAAGCTGTTCCGTATCTCTAATCACTTTTGTTGCCCTTTTCTGAATCTTTTCCAATTACAATGTATCTTTTTTGAGATGGGGCGACCAGAACTGCACACAGTATTCAAGATGTGGACATATCATGGATTTATATAGCGGCATTATGATATTTTCAGTCTTATTATCTATTCCTTTCCTAATATTCTGTTGGTTTTCTTGACTGCTGTTGCACATTGATCGGATGTTTTCAGAAAGCTATTCACGACTCCAAGATCCTTCAGGAGTGGTAAAAGCTAATTTAGACCCTATCATTTTTATGTACAGTTGGGATTCTGTTTTCCAATGTACATTACTTTGCACTTATCAACATTGAATTTCATCTGCCATTTTGTTGCCCAGTCACCCAGCTAAGCTCTACTGGGAGTTGTACACACAGCAGCCCTGTGCAGAAGGAAGTCCTCTGTGCTCTCTTCACTTTTCATCTTGACTCTGAAACACTGGCCAGGAGTTTGGGGCCTAGAGAGAGAAGACAGTGGTAATTTTGGACAATCATGGATGTTAAGGACATTCCTAAGAATGTGGTGGAGCAGGTGGGCAGCCTTTCTTCCTCCCAGGCAATTTGTGTGGGCATCTCTGCCTCCAAAGGGCCGTCAACCAACTCAGCCAGGGGAAGGGAGCATCTGTCTGTTTACTCTGTGGTAAGCAAAGCAGAAAATGATCTTGTTTCATTTCCCCACTACACACACACACTCTAAAGCTGAGAATGAGAAGGGAGGGAAGAATAGTCTTTTTAGTGAGCTCCCCTGCATCCCCTGAGCATGAAGCATGGATGTGAGACAGGCGACTGGAACAATCTGTACTGCCTTAGAGGAAGACCTAGTGGCCTAACTTTCAGGTCACAAGTTCAAATCCTAGTGAAGTCAGCTCAACCCTTGGAATTCCCACAATAGACAAAATGCTACCTCTATGGAGGATTTTAAGGACCCTCAACGGAAAGTCTTGTACACTCTTCTGGATATTAAAGATCCCATGGCACTTTTTGAGAGACAAGTGTTTATTCCAGTGTCCTTAGCCAAAATTTCCTCTTTCTCCTTCTCCCCACAGTGTAGTGCATTGCCCTATGTGCTGCCCTTCATTCCAGATTGGGTGAATATTGGTTGTGAAGCCTATTGGGCTCTTTCTGGATGAAACCTGCAACAGAAATATTATCACCAGCTGCAACACTCCACAACAGAGTTTGCTTTAGATAGTTAAGAACTGGAGGAGCTAGTTATTTGTACTGGGTTAAAATCTGGCCACTTAGGTCACAAATGAAACCAGGTATGGCAAGTTGCAAGCTCAACCTCTGGTGAGCAATTGCTTACATTGCCAACAAAACAGTGCCTTGTTCAGCAGGATACCTTGTCTGTGCTCAGGAGATGTAATAATAGCTAATACATAGTCTTGGCCTGTGCCCAGTGTGAGTTAGGAAGTTTGCACAGTGCCTCTAGGCCTGGCTCTGCAGAAGCCAGCTAGATGGGCAATCAGAACTGTTGAAGGACCCAGCTGGGCTGTTTTGAATGTGGAAATGAGTTTGGAGCACTGTGACACTTGTGGCACCTACTTACACTGGTTTCCCCAATTCAGTCATGCAAGTTCTGTGAGTACCCATCCCTTACCGAACATAAAGCAACAGCAGCATGATAATAGCCTGTGATCAGGATGCTTGAAGCTTGCAGTGCACTGCAACACAATGTGATTGCCATAGGAAGATATTTGGAGCAGTGATATCCCCGGGAGATCATTCTTATAGCTGAGTAGTCAGAAAGCAGCTAACAGGAGGGTGCATTATTAAACATTCCCCTCCCCAGCCATCTTCCCTTACTCCCTTGTTTTTTTTGCTGGTTACTCTTCCAATTCTATATCTCCCTTCCATCCACCCAGTGTGTAAAAATTGCGCTCATTTGGCATACTTGCTGAATGCCACAGCCATGCAAGCTATGCTGCTTTATGGCTTACACCTGCTGTTTAACTCCCCAACAACACTATTTACATCACCACTGAATTTATCCCCTTGTCATTGAAGGAATTGTGTAAGACAATAGCCTTAGTTAAAGCAAACTGCTTCTTAAGGGCATCTGGCCCAGCTTGGCTCTTCTCAGTACTTTCTGGCTTTCCTCTGGCCTTCCCTATATCTCCATTCCACTTCCTTCTTCTCTCTGCCCAAGCCTCCTACACTACCATTCCCTGTATCCTTCCATGTCATTGCCTACCCCTGGACCTCTCTCCTCTCTCTGGTGCTCCAAGGAGCCAACCCTTCTTTCCTTCAAATCCCTTCTTTAAACACACCAACTCCAGGAAGCCCCCAAGTGATCACACACCTTCTGTAAGTGAGAAATGCTGGCATGCACATACCAAGTAAAAATTAAAAGGCCGGAGAGCCAGAGACTTTCCTTCTTGAGCAATTTCCTACCTTACAGTAACTCCATAATAAATATCCGTAAACTTACTGAGCACAATTCTGCTCCAGCGTCAATGGAGGCCTCACCTCCAGTAAGCAGCTGGGTTTTTTTTGTCAGTACCTCAAAGTGGTCGCTCAGGTCGGGCCTCTGTTGTCAGGTAGAAACATCCTCTGGGTCATCTAGAGCATTTTGTGCCTGAATTGTTTTGCTTCTCTATTTAGACTGCAAGCTTCTTGAGGCCAAGACTATAACTTCCTCTGTGTTGGGCTGTGGGGAGTTTAACAAATAGTAGTAGTAGTAGTAGTAGTAGTAATTAGTGCTGTCTGTGGGCGGATTCAGTGGGGCTGACTCTGGGTGAGTCAGGCTCATGGGGCCTCGGAACTCTGGGTAACCTGCTCCATCATTCTTTTGTCTTCACAGTTCCACCAAAGATCTCCAATATCTCCTCGGATGTCACTGTGAATGAGGGCAGCAACGTGACCCTGGTGTGCATGGCAAATGGACGCCCCGAGCCTGTCATCACCTGGAGACACCTCACCCCGACAGGTAAGTCACGCAGCATAGCTCTTCTGCATACACTGTGCTGGTGACCAGAGGCAGTTTCAATAGTGAGTCTGGCAGCTACAAAGAGGGGTAAGTCCATGTGATGAACAATGCCAAGGAACCCTTTAAATGCATGGAGGGTATTTTGTACATTAGGCTGTACAGGACATAATAATCAGTTTGTCTCAGGGAACCTTTTAAACGGTGTCCACTAGGAGCTGTATATGCTTGACCCTCTGTTTGCATCTTATCTGTTGTCTTCATCTAGCTGCTGTAATTTCTGGTGCCAGCAAGGCACACTGCAGGGGCAAAGGGACCACATCCACTAATTGCAGAGAGGGAGGGGGAAGATCTTACCCATCTAATAATAAGTCCAGTAGGATCCTTTGAAAACCACCAAATTGGCTTCCAATCCTTTTGCATCAAAGAGGAGGCATGTGGTGACATGAGTCATCACATGCTACTTTCAGCCTTTGTAGACAGTAGCTGCACCCCATTAAAGGATGGGATGGCAGAAGAGGAGGACCCAGTAGGGCACAGAGCAAGCAAGAAATCAGCCAGCTCTGTTCCATTATTAATTACTCCTTTGCTATTGCAGCAATTGGCAGCCTTGGAGAGCAAACATTCCTGTCATTAGCCCCACTGACCCCCTGGGGAAGACAGCTAGCGAAGCAGGGAGTCTCCTAACTATTCATCCCTTGAAGATTTATCAGAGGGAAGAGAACAGGACACATGTGCCTCTTCTTCGCCCCTCCCAATGCTTTTCTTTGAGGGGAGATGTTCTCCTCCCCTGCTCTCATTTATAGCTAGCTCCTGGTTCCATTCAAGTCAATGGGGAAAACTCCCAGGATCGGGCACTGAATATGGGATTTACAACAAGGTATTGTAATGTTTGTTTACTGAGGAAGGCTCCAAGCTGCTAGAGCAGAAACTTTCTTCAAGTGCAAGAGACTGTGAAACTAATCATTGTGCTAGTCAGCAACCAGAGAGGGAGAGAGTCAGGGAAGGAGGAAAAAGAGATGGAGAGAGAGAACTCGAGGGAATTAGAGATGGGACTCAATCCAAATGCTGCATCCAAACCCCTTCTCCCCCCTCCAAATTTGGGGGAGTTTAGGTTCTACTCCACATTTCCTGTCTTGCCCCCATGGGCCAAATCAAAATACTCCCACTCTAAACAGCTTTGGGATAGCTGAAATCCAGACCTTTATTTTGTGGTTTTGGCCCATCTCTAGCAGAAATGGAAGGAGGGAGAGAGGGAGAGAGAAAAAGGGGAAAAAAAACAAACAAACAAAAAAAAAAAAAAAACCCCACTGCCAGGAAGAGACGGCGGTGAGAACAGAGGGGCGGGGGGGGAGTGTGATTTCTTTATGGTGTCATCAATTGCCTGGTTCTTCTCTTCTGTTACTGTCAATATTGAGTGTGCATGTGCTACTGAGGTGTGTAGGAAAATGACCTGTTTTTTTTTTTCTTTTCTTTTCTTTAATTTGTGTATTTACAATCCGCTTACTCCCCAGGGGCAATTTTGCTATAAGATGCATTTCTTATTGAACCTTTGATCTCCTTACAGTATCAGAATTTCAGTCCTCACCTCTAATTCTTTCTCTTTGTATTCAAGTGGGAGACATTTCCTTGTCATGCACCGAGCGTTTTGTAGCATTGTTTCAGTTAATACATGGATATTAGTTTCCATGAAGATTTAATACAAGAGTTCGAGATTTGAGAGATGCCACCTATGTCAATGTTCAGATCCTACAGTAATAGTCATTTTTGATAAAGAGACTGTAGAGGGATAGTTGCTATATGCATGTGATCAATTGCAGAGCCATACAATAAACTGCACATGGCATGCCCCTTTGCCTGCCTCACCCGTACTTTGCCCACTGATTGATCCACATTGGGATTACTTCTAATATTCCAAGCCAGTTTTGGGGCTTTCAAGGAGTGGCCATTAGAACAACACCAAGGCTAGCCAGGAAAAGGACCCCCCCACACACATCTATTTTTTTTTTTTTTTTTTTTTTTAAACGAATGTGGAATTGCATCATTCTGAGATGCAGGAAGGGCAGTCCCTGTTGCCTGGACTCTCATCCAGGCCCTCATCACCTGTCTCAACTAGGGCAACTTCTTCCTCTACAGCCGAGACCAATCCCATCTTGCCGCACCTCTATCCATTCAGAGCACAGCCGCAGAGATTGTTTTCCTGGCTCATTGCTTGTCACCTCACCCCTCTTGGTGTCCCTCTACTGGCTCCCACTTCTCAACCACTTTAAACACGCAGGTTTTTCTTCACCTTTGAGATCATTCATGATCTATCCCCCCTCCTACCTATTCTCTTATGTGCTGTCCAGATGTTGACGCCTGCCTCCATTCTCCCAAAGGTGCCAGTATTCATGGCCCATTTGTTAAATTTTCCAGCGGGCAGCTTCATGCTTTCTCCCATGCTGCCCCCTCTGCATGGAAGGAGCTACCTGTAAACCGTCTGCAAAGCCACCTCCTTTGCCCTCCTTCAGATCCCTCCTTTAAACCTTTCCTCTGCCATAATACCTACAAAAAACCTCAGCAATGATTGGTCTGCTGAAACCACTGCTTGTCACACTGACCAGTATTGTCTCATTGGGTGTGTGGGGTTTTGTGTGTGATCTCCTATTAATATCCTTCTGTTGTCTTATAGTTAAATTGTAATTTCTTCAGGGCGAGGGTTCATCTTTAATGTATATGTTTTGTACAGCACCTAGCACAATAAGGCCCTGTTTGTATTGAGGAACCTAGGCTTCAATGCAAACATAATTTATCTTTAATAGATTTAGGGTTGTCAATTAATTATATTCCAGACCTATCCCACTTAGAAACAGGTGTCTTGTTCCACCAGAAAGGATCTGGGAATCTCCCAAGAGTACAATGCATTTGGTTCTAGTTGTGCTAGATCAAAGGGCATCTGGTCTTAAATCACCATGATATGACACATAACTTTAAGTGGTTTCCAAAATGGTTTAGGGTATGTGTGTTTCTCTTCCTCTGAGCCTTGTATAATTGGACCTACAAAAAAACCGTTGTGACATTGCACTCCATAATGTTTTATGGAAATATGCTTATGAGTGTGAATATAAGGTAACTGGAATATGCTTTCTGCAAAAGGTCTCTTGTAAGATATCATTACAAAGCTTATAATCTACTGAGTGTGGTCATCCTATTTGTATGAATGTATCATTCTTGTATCTGAAACTAGGAATATGAAGTATAACTCTGAGCTCGTATTGTAATTATGCAAAGTGTGGGCCATTAATGATGGCTTAGGATCTTGATGACTCCCATTGACTAGGACAATTTGTTGTGAATGGGTTTATTTACCTGCAAGCCTTCCTCTGTAAGTAATGTGGATAATGAAGAATGAGGTCTTACAGTGACATGTGACCATGTCACAGGATACTGGAATCCATCTTAAACTTGGTGCTTTTCCATTTAGAAGGAGGGGTGGGGACCAAAGAGACAAAAGGATTCCCACCTTGTGCCAAAGCTATAAAAGGGGGTGGAGCTGGACAAAGGGGGTCCCAGTCATGAGAGAGCCCCTGCTTTTCATCTAAGATGCCTGCTGGAATTAACAAGGACTGAACCGGGGAAAGGATTGGGCCCAGACTAGGAAGGAGTCTAGTCTGTGAAAGAAGCTTATTGGAACATCTCTGAGGGTGAGATTTAATCTGTAATCAGTTTCTTAATGTATTAGGTTTAGACTTGAGTGTTTTGTTTTATTTTGCTTGGTAATTTACTTTGTTCTGTCCGTTATTACTTGAAATCACTTAAATCTGACTTTTTTTATATTTAATAAAATCACTTTTGTTTATTATTGAACCCAGAGGAAGTGATTAATACCTGGGGGAGAAAACAGCTGTGCATATCTCTCTAGCCATGTTATAGAGGGCGGAAAATTTATGAGTTTACCCTGTATAAGCTTTATACAGAGTAAAAATGGATTTATTTGGGGTTTGGATCCCATTGGGAACTGGGTTTCTGAGTGCTGGAGATAGGTGACCTACTGATCAGTTTTTGGTTTAAAATCTACAGCTTTGGGGGCATAGACCAGACCTGGGTCTGTGTTGCAGCAGGCTTGCGTGTCTGGTTCAAGAAGGCAGGGTTCTGGAGTCCCAAGCTGGCAGGGAAAACTGGCTCAGAGGTAAATTCAGCACATCGGGTGACAGTCCCAAGGGGGTCTCTGTGACCGAACCACATCACATCTGTTATCAACCCTGGATGACTATCCCATGTTTCTTTCTATAACAAGGACTGTGAGGTAGGTTAGGGTCCTGGCAAGAAACCTGGCATGGCTTTGGATGCTAGGTGGGAGATGGGGGCCATGCTGGGCCTGCAGGAGGGTGGGATACTGAGGCTGGTGTAGGGGTCTGGTGCAGTGATAGTGGCTGGATGGTGGCCTTGCTTCCGGCTTTTGAGGGTTCTGAGCTGAGCTTCTGGGTGGGTGGTCAGTGGAGTGGGGGAGTCTCCCTTCTTCCCTCCTCTCCATGCACACAGTGTTCAACTCTGGGGTCGTGCAAGGGCTGCTTCCAGGCCAGTTCCACAACACTTTGGAATGATGATGTTCATTTCCCGCAGGAGTGCACCATGCAGAAGGTGAGACCTAGGAACAGCCTCTGGGCAGACCAGGGGTGAATCCCAGGCAGTAGAGGGCAAGAGAACCAGTTGCTGCTTTCTTCGCTGCCTGGGTTCCCCCAGGTCCCTAGCAATGGTGGGGGTTTGCTGCTTTCTCAGATGATTGTAGCTGACCCACTGGTTGAAAAGTCCTGATCTATTTTTCACATGGTCATGGCTGGGTCACCAGGCTGCCTGATGCATATCAGCATGCAGGCCTCCTGGTGACAGAAATGTTAGTATTAGCACATACAGAAATTTCAAAAAATAATCTAAATTAGTTTTCCTAGGAACCAAAGTGTCCTAATTTTAGGATCTTGTATCTCACAATATGCCAGACCTAGAAATCGGTTTTGGATAATCAC